CATTCCTGGGCCTCCTGCAGTGCCACAACGATGCCACCCGAAGGTTGCAGGAACAGGTCCTCATTCTGCTTGGGAACCCTGCAGCCCAATGGTATCAATGTGGACTTCACAAGCTTCAAAAATCTCCCCTCCCCCCTACCGCATCCCAAAACCAGGCCAGCTCATACTGCCTCCCTAACCTGTCCTTCCTCCCTCCCACCTATACCCTCCTCCCACCTCAAGCCCTACCCCCACCCATCTCCCTACTGGCCTTATCCTGCCCCCTTGACCTGTCCATCCTCCTTGGACTGACCTATCCCCTCCCTAACTCCACCTCTGACCTGTCTGTCTCCTCTCCACCTATCTTCTCCCCGCCTCCCACTCTCTCCCTATTTATTTCAGAACCCCCTTCCCCTCCCTCATTTCTGAAGGGTCTAGGCCCGAAATGTCAGCTTTCCTGCTCCTCTGATGCTGCTTAGCCTGTGTTCATCCAGCTCTACACCTTGTTATCTCAGAGTAATACTTAAAAGGCCTAGAGCAGTTGATCGCCTACCATGGTGAACCATCAGACAATGGTTTACACTTCAAAGACCAACAGGCGTGAAAGTGGGCTGCATTGTATGTAACCTCAAGCAGCTAGCCTTGTATAAGGAATGACTAGGTTATTAAACAAGTTAAATTATTGACACCCTGATCATACAGTACAGGGCTGAGGAAGGGTCACTGGACCCCAAAATGTTAGCTGATTTTTTCCTTCAGATGCTGCCAGACCTGCTGAGCTTTTCCAGCCACTTGTTTTTGTGAATACATTACAGGGCTGTCACATTGTATAATCTGAATAAATCGGCCTCTGAAAGGGTCATCCATGAGCAGAACGTTCTAAAAGGTTGTGGTCAGTTACATCCTCCCAAACCTACAACACCTAGTGACCTTTGTACAGGGGAAAGTGGGTACACCACCCACCTAAGCCTGGTGTGATACTTGTCCATGCACAAGGTGATACTTACTGTGTATTGATAATGGGTTAGGAAGTACCAGAGTGTATAGACAGATGGAAGTTAACAAAAAGAGAGGAGTGTGAGTTAAAGATTGTACATTGATAGGATAGGATTTCTTCAGACCATGCAAATTTATTATGGATGGATGCAGCTGTGGATGACTCCGTTGACATAGGCAGCAGATTTACATGGCTGGTGCACAGATATGGTGTGGACAGCATGAGACCAACAGGGTGCAGAGCAACTTGGTCAACCAAGACATTGATGGGTCATTGGACACTATATCACTACATGTATAGTATGTGGGTTAGGGGTAGCATGGGGATACTGTATGTTCACCGTATCTAAAGGACATGCAGCACAATTGCAAACTGCATGACAAACAGAAAGTGACTTCTAAAGAAATACTATAGAAGCACACAGTTAATGAACAGAACCTGGTTATTGCACTGGGTAAAGAACAATACAAATACATTGGAAAAAGGGTAATTAAAACCACATCAATGGTATGGTTGTTCCAATGCATATCAGAGTGATTAGGACATTGATCATATGGCCACCATCAGTCCATAAAACTAATTGACACTTAGGATGGCCCAACATCTCAACTTAATGTACAAAATAGCTATATCTCCTAATACAAGTATATGGAGTCAAAACCCCCAGGATACAAAAAAAGCAAACTTACATGACAACAGAAGACCAGACTAAAACTGGGGCTTGGTACAATATTAGGAGGGCTAGGAAAAGCATTGGAACATTAAGTGTCATGGATGTAGAGACTTTGCAAAACAAGATGCGAAAAAGGTGGGTAGCCTGACTGGGGATGCTATTAGGTTATAAATGTTTGGGACAGAAGGCTGACTATAAATGTTATTTGATGTAATGCAATGGAACAATTTCACATGTCTCTACGACAAAGGAAGTTTCAATAATTATACTGCTTTTATGTTCATGAAATTACAAAACTGTTAAGAGCAGAATTAGAACAAATAGTTTTATCAGGACAGTGATAGTTGGGTGAATTTATTCACGTTTGCCAGATGAAAATTACTGATCAAACCAAATCTTCAACATCCTACCTGTAACAAACAGGTAGGAATTTTACCTTGAGCATTATTGATGTGATTTATGTACAGAATTGGTATAATTTTATTACTCTCCCCGATTTGTTTGGGCAACAATTGTGGCTGCCAGAGATGAGAGGGAAGTGGATTGATGAGGCAAATAAACTCAGTGGGACTGATTGTCAGGGGTGGCCATTTGGTCTGGTATATCTGTTCCATACCCCAGTATTTAAACAGTGCTCCCTTTAACATTCTGCAGGAACATGCACGTGGCAGTTAGCTCCATACAATGGCAGCTATTCACAAGACAGGACAAAAACCAGACTGCTACTACCAGCCCCCATACCATTTGTTTCTATGGTATCTGAAAGGATTCTCCAGTTAATTGGTGCACACGTCCTCTATAACATGATCCAAGTAGACAGACCAGAACATTTTGGAATAAAATGTAAGAACGTACAGCAGTATCATACTACCTTTGGGGTACAGAACCTACAACCACTTGTCAATCTGACTTGGTTGGAACGATTTTTCTGTGAAAATGCCCACATTAGTTAGGAATTAGTGACAAGGGGATGAAATATACATTGAACAAAATCATGTCATGAGGGTGGGCAGTTAACATGATTTACTGATCCCATCCCAACCTTGACCATACACCTGGAGGGGGGGGGGGTCTATTTAAGGGTTGGTCCCCAAAGCCCTGCTATCATGAATTTGATGAGACACCCTTCTCTACATTGAAACAGGATAAAACTACTGCAAATGTAGTGAATATCCAATTATACTTGACTAGATAAATTGCAGGCTGGTGAGCCTTGTGACAGTGGAAGGGAAATAGAAGATTCTTAGGGACAGGATTTCACATTTGGGAAAAATATGGACTTATTAGCAACAAGCATGACTTTGGGTGGGGATGGTCATACCTCAAATTTGATTGAATTTAGAGTAATGATTGAGGGCAGAATGGTGGACTATACAAGACTTTAGCAAGGCCTTTGATAAAGCCCCTCATAGCAGGCTGATACTGAAGGTGAAAGTCACGTGGGATCCAAGATAAGCTGATAAGATGGATATAGAACTGGTTTGGTCATAAAAGACATCAGTCGTGGAAGTGTTTTTCTGACTGGAGATCTGTGACCAGTGGTGTCCGTAACTAGTGACTAGCACCGAGTTGAGGATAGGGAGGAGGATTGCTAGAGGCTACAGCAGAATATAGATACACTATAGACTTGAGCAGAGAAATGGCAAATAGAACTTAATCCAGACAATTGAGGTGACTTTTTGTAAGAATCTGATGAAGAGGGCACTGTACCGTAAATGTCAGAACCCTTAGTAGCATCGACAGACATTGAGGCACAGGTCCACAGTACAGTATTGTTGCCACTTTCTGGGAACTATTTCCAGTTCTGGCTACCCAGTTATGGAAAGGACATTAAGCTGGAGAGGGTTCAGAAGATATTTACCAGGATGTTGCCAGGTATGGACAATTCAAGTTAAAGACAGACTGGGCCTTTTTTCATTGGAGCCTACAAATTTGAGGCAACCATATATTAGAAGTTTATAAAATCATGGGGGTATAGACATGGTTAATGGTATTTGTCATCTTTTCCCTAGGATGGGGGATTTCAAGACTAGAGGGCACTTTAAATTATTTTAACAAAAAAAAGAGATTTTTAAAAATCTGCAGGGGCAATTTTTTTTGCCTAGAGGGTGGTTTGCACGTGGGTACAATAACACTGTTTAAGCTATGTGGATAAATACATGAATAGCAAAACATCTGAAGTTACATGGGCCAGGAGCAGGCAGGTGGGACTAGTTTAATTTGGGATTCAGTGCTGACTGGTTAGATTGAAGGGTCCATTTCTGTGCTGTGTGACAAGTGGCGAGGTAGTCAAGGCTGCACATGGCATGTTGGTCTTCAGAACATGCAGTATAAAAATTGGCAAGTCATGCTGCAGGTATATAGAACTTTAGTTAGGGCACATTTAGAATATGGTGTACGGTTCTGGTTGCTGCACAAGACTATGGAGGCTTTGGAGAGGGTACAGAAGAGGTTTACAAGATGTTGCCTGGATGCCCAGATGTTTTGAGTGCATTAGCTAGGAGAGATTGGACAAAAACTGTTTTCACTTGAGCATTGGAAGCGGAGTGGCACAGAAAGAATGGATGAGTCTTTCCCTAGGGCAGAAATGTCAATTACTAGAAGGCAAAGGGTCAAGGGAAACAGGGTTTAAAAAAGTTGAGGAGATGTGAGGGGGAAGTTTGTATTTTTTTTGAAAAAAAAAAAAAAAACAGGGTGCTAAGTGCCTGGAATGCACTCCCAGATGAGGTAGAATAAGATATAATAGCAATGTTTAAGATGCATCTTGACAGATACCTGAATAGGTAGAGTACTGTTTGTTTAGGTGGTCTTGGCTTCCAAGAATGGTCTCACTATTTTAAATTGGAACAAGGTCCAAGTCACATAATAGGTTCTAGGGAAACCACACTTTAAGCAATGCATTCCTTGCCTTATCATCAAGAGGCAAGAACTGCACCAATTCATTTGGCCATTTTACTGATGTCTGTGGAATGTATAGCTACCCAGTTTATATCAGCATGAACAACTCTGAGCCCAAGAAAAGTTCAGAACTCACCATTTATCAGAATGAGAGTTACAGTTAAGTTAACAAAAATCATTCATACACAGAAATTTGCACATGGTAGCATCAATTCTGAAAGTCAGAGCAATATGGGTAAAATTTCCTGTCAGGGCATAAATGGCAAAGTTACGCCATAAATTACATCAAGTCATGCACCAACTTTTCAACAGGTTACATAGTGCTAGTCCCAGCGAAGAATGAAAAACCCAATAGGGATCACAAAATAGACAGAAACTTCCACAAATATTTTTATTTATTACTGGACATTTCTTCAACACCTCCCCTGACATTCCAAGCCACATGATACTTACAGGAGGAATGATCTCCCCATATTTGCTGGTAAAAGTAACGCTCACTTTCTTTTTGTGCCCAGTTCTTTGATCAAAGCAGTTGCAGGAGTCAAAGGGTGGACTGTACAAGTGAAGGCTGACTGCCACCTCAGTGTGACTCACATTTTCAACTCTGTGCACCCCAAGTGAATCTAAACATGAAATGGCAAACAGTTTAGATTAAAGATGAAAATAGAGATACTCAGGTTTGGTGGCATGTGGAAGAAGCTACCATTTCAGGCCAATGATGTCAGAATTTCAATTGTAATTTACATTAAGAATTAACTTCAAGTTAATTCTATGCTAATGCAAGGACACTTTCATTTAAACATTTCTCCTTTAAAGTAGCCATGAATTAATTTTTAAAAACTGAATAGCAACCAACTGGTGACTGGGTTTTATTCCTTGCCATGCCACAAATAAAGCTTAAGGGATGGATAATCAAGAACCCACAATTAAACAAATAGCCTCAAAACATCAGCGATAGTAAGAATTTGAAAATTTTCAAATAGGGTCTGTTACCCCTCAAACTTGCTTTCCAAAAAAAAAAAAAAAATTATTTCTGGTTTTCAGCCCTGAGGAGTCAAAAAAATGAAGTGCTTTGGCTTCAAGTCCCTTTTGTATCCCATGCTCAAAATAAAAATGCACCATTTCCCTTATTTCAAGTTTCATTAAAAGAGTTTCAGTTGGATTAATCATTTGAATATAAAAACAGCCTCAAATCAGACAGATGCACTTTGGACAGACTGGAGAAGACAAGATGAAATAATATCTTTTCCCCCTAATTAGTTCTATCACCACTTGCTGCAGACCAATTCCACGTGTCTTTTAGGACTTGGCCAGCTCAGAAAACAGTAGATCAGTAGCTTTTATTTTGGAGATGGACATGAATTTCTCACCCAGAGTGCATTCTATGGCCATGCCATTCTCAATCCTTCTTCCAATTGGTGTTTAAATTGGATCACAGATTCTCCAACTGAGGGGGTGGGAACAGCACATATTGATCAACAGGAAATTTTCTTGACCATCCATGACTGATATCAAGGTCTCAAATCAAAACGCAGGACTCAGGGTAACTTCCTCCTGACTAAGTGCTATTATGCCGCCACCTCTGGGGTAGCAGCCCCCTCAAAAAGGGACAGAAGATCTCCATGGATGGAAATAGTGACAACTGGGAGATTGTCTACAAAGGGACATGGAGTGATTGGAATGAGGGCCAGCAAGGATCTCATTGACTGAGATCCTTGATTGGAGTTATTAACAGGCTGACTAGGGAGCCCTGACTGACAGGTAAATAGAGATGGAGTCTCCTCATTTTAGGGATTGGCTGAGCTGGCTGGTCAAAGCCCATGTACTGTGCACATGTAACAGAAAGGTGACAGGATATCAGCCTTTGCAGTTATTTTAGTATAATTCTGTGGAGCATGGCAAAGTCAGGCTGGTATTTACATAATTAAACTTCAAGAACTGAGGAAAGCATTAAAAGTTAGCTTATCTCTATAGTATATTTAATCAAAATTCAGACTTGATCTTTTATCCTACGTTTTCCCCCCCAACCTGTAGTTCCAAGCGAGTTTAATATAAAAATATTGCACCAGATCAGAATGTAGGCAGAATTCCCCCTTCATGGCACTAAAATGGTGAGTACAAGTGTTCTAACAGAAACCTTGGGCTATTCACCAGTCCTGAAAGAAGACTAGGTTTGGTTAAAGAACAAAAATTCTGTCAACCATGATTTTGAATTTCTTCATTTGGAATTGGCTTAAACAAGCATCCCATAGTCAGGCAAGGCCTTGGATGCTTTTAAAAGCCCAACAGAAAATTTGTTTTGACCTCTGCCTTTTGTTGGTCAGGTAGGAGTGAAAGCTTTTTAAAAACTCATTCTGTTTGACAGTGCATGAAACCCAGGGGAGACCTGCTGGCAGGAACTTTCTGGGGAGCCTCCCATCAGAAGGGTTTGGTAGCTTCAAATATTACGAGACAACAGTATTAAGTGCGAGGGGTTTTTCCAGTAGAGATTACACAGCAGTGTTCTTCAAATTTAAAGTGACACATTAGAGTACATGCTGATTGGCAAAAGTGTAATATGTGCTCAAGAGCTTGGGAACAGTCATGATCTGAAGAGACTGAAGATGTCCACACCCCTTAAGTCAGGAACCAAATGGGTCTGCAATTTTCAATTCAGGAAGAAACCTGTTCCACAGCCATCATCATTTGTATTTCCAAGAGGTTTGTTTTGACAACTAAGGCCATTATGAATGGTTTGTCAGGATTTCAAATACTAAAAAACCACTTATCCCAGCAACAAGCTCTGTTCAGTTTGATTGACAGTTTTATGGAGGGTTTAAGGATCATCTGCCTTTGACTGGTTACTGGATAAAAGTGCTTGTTTTCACAAGCAAATGACTTTTGGTGGGGGTGGAAGTGGACAGAAACAAAATCAGGACTTTCTAAAAAAAGTCATTAATATCATAGTTCTTATAGATTTAAAGGGTGTACTGAGAGTTTGAGTAGGTTTGGCTTGTATTTGTTGGCAGTTAGAAGATGGAGAGTTGACCATATTAAAGTGTGCAAAATTCTTACTGGACTTGACAGGGTAAGTACGGGAAGGGAGTTTCTCCTGGTAGGGGAGTCTAGGACTAGACGGCAGTCAGAAATAAAAACACATTGTTTACACAGTTAAAAGACAGCAAGAATTTCAGGGTAGCAAGTTTATTGAATTTCTGCTGAACACTGCTGAGGCTGGGGGTCATTATTAGTATTTAAGACAGACAGATTTATATTGGCACAGGAATCAGGGTTACGGGTAGAAGGCAGGGATGTGAAGTAGAGTATTCAGATCAGCTGTGGTCTCATTCAATGGTGGAGCAAAGTCAATGGGCTGAATGGCTTATTTCTGCTCATACTGTGTCTTTTGGTCTCAAAAATAGTGTATCTTTCTTTATAAGAGATATCCATTGCAATTACATGTTGTATAATTAGTTAGAACATGTTACACCCCTCTGGAACATGCAGGAGTTGAACCTGGGTCTCTTGGTCCAGAGGTGGAGACATGACAAAAGCCCCTCCTCCACTGCAGTTACAAAGTCTTTGGGCTGTAGGTCATGATTATGGGGCAAGTGGCAATGGAGTGATACATGGGTATTGAAGGAGCTGTGGAGTCATGTGGCTCACATTGGAGTCAGCCAATCTTGGTACCATAGTCATGGTACCTTCAGAAAAATGAACACTGATTGCTTACCTCTAGGAAGACAATGTGGTGATCACAGGAGAGAGAGTAGCAGGTTCAAATAGAGATTAGGAAGTTGTCCACTTTAAGTGTCACTTCACTAGAGGTTCAACATGAAAATCCAGCCTCAAACTAGCATCGGTCTGCACATTTTTAAAAAAAAGTGTATTTTTTGTTTTTCAACTGCATAAAATCCTCTCTACCCACCAATTAAAGCACAACACAAAATTTGTTAATCCAGAGACCCAGGTAATGTTCTGGGGGATCCTGGGCTCAGATTCTGCCACAGGACATGAAGGAATTCGAATTCAATTTAAAAGAAAAAATACCTGGAACTAGGAGTCTAATGGTGACCATAAATCCATTGCAGATTGTTAGAAAAACCCATCTGATTCACCGATTTCCTTTAGAGAAGGAAACTGCCATCATTACCTGGTCTGGCATACATGTGACACCAGGCTAAAAGCAAAGCAAAGTGGTTGATTCTTAACTGCCCTCTGGGCAATAAATTCTAGCCCAGCCAGCAACATCCTCATCCCATGAAGGGAAAAAACCTACAAAAGATGAAAACAAAATGTAATCTCAGCTAGAACTATATACTTGAGAATGAAATGTGAAAGCCTTACCATTGATGTAGGTACACTGATTTTCTTGTAGAATGGTCTCAAACTTCTTGTTTAGTTCTTTTCCCCTGCCATCAGGCCAGTGAAAGAGTGTTTCCTTCAACTGTCCCTGAAGCAGTTTTAAGAAGCAGTGGGAATCAGCATGATCATGGATACTGCTATAATGTGGAAAATTAAAGACAGATTCCAGTATCTTCAAACTAGTGGTTCTACAAATCTGGATAAAACAGATCCTTGACAAAAGATGAAATGTGAACTCAAATTAACTGAAAGTTTAAACTTCCCCCTCCCTTAAAAAGTTGGACTCATTAGGATCAGTTGTTTTCAAATTCTCACATTTTAGCCATTGCTATTATTAGCAAAAAGTGAGTGAACAGACATCATAAAGAGGCAGTGTACTGAAAAAGTTAGATGCAGTGGTATGATGTTGCTTCAAAACCATTCCCACCATTTCAAAATTATGGCATTAGGAGGTAGATTTGAGGCCAGGAACTTTCCATTGAAGAGGAAGGGAAAAAAGCAAAAGCAGAAAAGAAAAACAAGGTTAGTCACATTTTTTGAAGCTTTACCAGAAAAGGTCAGCCCACGATTGTTTACACAGGTTACAGCCACAAAGACAAACATTTGGGGAAAACAAAGACATCGGCTTAAAATCAAAGTAATTTTAGAAATAATGCAGAACAAGCTGGATTTAATTTGTTTAAAATCAAAAGCTGACATTCAATAACCTTGTTCTTTTATAATGAACAAGGAGTGTAGTGTAAAAAAACTAACCAACCATCTATAGGCTACCTATTACAATCCAGCCATAACAAAGACCACAGAAGTAAACCTATAGATGTGGAAAACATTAAAGTAATTTAATATTCATTGAAGTACAAAACACTAAACTTACCTTCCATGGCCTTCACCCCAGCATAGTATCATCAGATTAAACTTGCCATTTCCTTCATCAACTAGATTCCTTGTGTATCTGTAAAGAAGGATGAATTATATTGAAGGTAATGTTAAAATCAAAAAGATCCAAGACATGAAAAATGGTTTATAAACCAGAAGCACAAATGCAAACAAGATGACTTTCAATGTTGTGCTCAACTGTACTGAGTTGGACATGAACTCGAGTTTTCCAGGTTAATGTTGATATTTAAAAAGTGTTCCATCAACTGAAAAAAGTACATTGAGGGAAAATTTCAAAGAAAAAAAAGCAGCCAAACAGAACAAGCCTGATATAAGTTTGATTTTATCCCCCTCCATCAAAAGCTGACATTCAATAACATCCCAATGTTTGATTAATTTTAAAATGAACAGAATTGCAATTTAACTGAAGCTTTCCCCCATCGTGATTATAGAAATCACATAGTACAGCAGCCTTTGGCCAATTTGAGTCTGTAGCACAAAAAAAACACTACTACCCACACTAGTCCTACTTTCCTGCATTAGGCCCAGAGCCTTCAATTTATGACAGTTCAAGTGCTTTTAAGAAAAAAAAAGTTGTCCCCATCTCAACTACTTTCACAGGCAGTTCTGAGGAAGGGTCACCAGACTCAAAACATTGATTCAGATTTCTCTTCACAGATGCTGCCAAACATGCTGAGCTTTTCCAAAAATCTCCTGTTTTTGTTGGAAAACAACTGCAGATGCTGTGAATCAGGTTCATTACTCACCAATGTCTAAACAGCAAATTTAATGGTCCCATAATTAGGGGAATGGCAGGGCAGCTCAAACCTGTAGCGCACATATCCTGCTATGTGGAAACTCCCAGTTAATACATTAACACATTTCACCTAATGAAGGAGTAGTGAAAATTTTAAAGAAGTGGCTAAGGAGCCCAGAAAACCTGCGGTAGCTTGAGGAATTTCAAGAACAGCTCCAAAGGAGGCTATTTTGACTCCTGGTATAATGCATTTTTGAATGGAGGAAGTTGTAATTTTGTTCAACTAAAACTCCACAGAAGTAGCTCAAATTTTGAAAATAAAAAAGGATCATAAAAGCTTCATAAAATTTAGTGAAAAGTTGACTACAGAAAGCTGCTTTGACATCAGACTTGTGTCTGTTGAAGTTGTGGGAGCTTTAATTGCTGATCTGGTTTAGAATATAGGAATACCAGCAACAATTCAAAGGCTTACATGGTAGAATAGGCAAATAGTACTTGAAAAGTCTCACTAAACTAAGACATCTACCTTTCAAAGACTAAAAAAGGATGACCAATATGTTAGAGACAGGATTGAAGTGACATTATCCCCCAAGATTTATCTTAATACATCTTAACACCAAGGTGTAATTTCACTATACATAGGGGAAATATTACACTTCCTCTTCCCCCTAAAACATCCTGCAGGCCAAGGACATCGTGATTGGGGGTGGTGGTGGGAAGGAGGAAGGAATCAGACACCTCCTAAAACAAACAGTAATTGGTCAGCATTCATTTTGCTGAGAATGGCATCTAACAATTTCACTATTGGATAGCACAATACATGTTTAAATTTAAATACTCTACCGTGCATGGTTATGCCATTCTCCCACAAGTCCAACTCAAAGCAGATGGGGATTAGCTTTAGATTGCCGAGTCTTTTCTTTCATGCACACCATACCAAGCAAAAGTATCTATTGCCAATGGGATAGTTCTACATGTTAGGACTTTGACAGTCAAAAAAAAAAAAAAAAAACACACCAGAGGGCTACTGATTATGGTAGCTTTGTCTCCAAGTGCTATTAGGGAGCCAGGATGTCTAATAAATCAGCACTCAGGTTTTATAAACAGTGGCCCAGACTATCGCAATAGGAAGTGAGCTGTTCCAGCAGCATAGTCAGGATCTTTCAGCTGCAAGTCCACTTTTTTTTTTTTTTGGAAAAGTGGTGACAAAAAGACTTCCAAAACAGCCTGTTCCAACACCTCCAGCTGGGTCTTGGAGACTTCACTCAACAGAGCAGATCATTTTCTCCTTTGCTGCTATCACTGCCTTTTGCTCTGGGGTATTCCACATTCCACCCACTCTTCTCTCCAACACAACAGCCAGCATTTTCTCCATTAGTACCACATGAGGCATGCTGGACTTGAACTGCTACTCTCCAGATGCAGACAGACCTACTGCTTTTGTTTCATATTTCCAACATCCACAGGAATATGCTTTCAAAACATCAAGGACAATTTTGCCTCATTGCTGTGAGCCTTTACAAAGCCTCTTGAATGTGTGTTGGAAAGGCAAATCAGGGCAGGACCTATACAGTTAATGGTAAGGTTTTGGGGAGTGTTGTTGAACAAATAGTCCTTGGAGTGCAGGTTCATAGTTCCTTGAAAGTGGAGTCCCAGGTAGACAGATAGTTAAGGTGGTGTTTGGTTCGCTTGCCTTTATTGGTAAGTGCATTGGAGTATAGGAGTTCAGGCATGCAATTCTATTGAATTGCAACAGGCATGCAATTCAAACAACCCACTCAGCTTGACATGCCCAAAAGTCAGAAATAAAAGCTAAATACCCAAGAACAGAAGCTCACACTGGCCAAGTGTTTCTTCCAAGTCTTAGGGTCTTTGCCACACTGATACAAGTATTGGTCCCACACTTCAAAGGGTGCTCTCCAGGAGTTTTTGCTGCTAGCACACAGAAATCCTTCGTTTTATCATTTTCTTCTTATCTTCCCAAACTGTTGTCTTGTTCTTGTTGGTTCCTCAGCTCCGAGGAAGGTCTTTCCACTATAGGCTCACTCCAAGAACACCTGTAGGTTATTTCATTGTTCTTTCACCAACTAAGGATTTGCCTTGATGTCATCCGTCAGACTTAAACTAGGTCAAGCCAGCTAGGGTTTGGATAACTTACATTCATAGCTACTGTCTGTGACCAGCCTCAAAAAAAGTTGAGGCGAGGGTAAAATTGAAGGATATGGTCATCTTCAATACTCTGCTTCAGCTTGGTCGGTCACAGCATTAATATGCATCCCAGCAATAGCCAGGGCCTGCATCTCCAGATGTTAGAGCAGACAATCGCATCTTTGTTAGTTTCCTTGCCTTTGAGGAATTTGTCTCATTAGGGAGACCGAAGCTATAAAGAAAGTTTAATGTTTGATGAATCTAATTGCTGTATCAGGTAACTGAATTGTACAAATTGGAGTTATAGATGTTAGGCTTGCAGCAATGCACAAGGGTGAAGTGATGCTATTGAATGAATCATAACTAACTAGGAGGCCAGAGTTGATCAAGTGACTAAGACCTGGTGGCAGAGCTGAAGTTGCATTCACTTTAGCCAACCAACTGCTCATCTTGTAATTAAACTTCCTCATGGCACTGATCACCTGCTTTGTTTCAAGCATCTCCTGGCCTCTGAGGATAGGCAGAACTGCTCTTTTACATGCCTGCACAAAATGCCTACAGTTCAGTAAATGAAACCTTTGGAGCTCACCATTTCCGTAATGGAACTTTTTGAAATTGTGCTGCAACATATCCCTGGGCTTGCTAGAGGGCAGATTTGCAACAGTCAATGCCAAGAATAAATTTCTGTCCTGCATTTTTATTTTCAATTTAATTGTGGCTAAAAAACCTTAAAACAGAACACTGGAAAGAATTGCTGCACTGTTTGCAGAAAAAAAGTTACTGAACCTCATTATGTTGGGTATTTACACTGTTAAAGGTTCCGAGTAGATTTGTTGCTCTGGTTGTGGATGCTGTGATTGGTTTGCTCACCGATCTAGTTTGTTAGTTGGTAGATGTGTCATTACCCTACTGGGTAACATCAGTGCAGCCTCTGATGAAGCGCTATTGTGTTTTCCTGCCTGGTATCCACTGGAATTGGTTACCTCATTTCTGGTTTTTCTTCACAGTGGTGTATATACAAGGTCCAATTCTATGTGTTTATTGATGGCCTTCTTGGTGGAGAACCAGGCCGCCAGAAATTCTCATGCTTCTGTTTGGCTTGTCCTCAGATCCTGATGTTGTCCCAATAGAACTAGTGGTTCTACTTACCTGCGTGAATAGCAACGAGAGAGTGCTGGTCAGGTCTTTTTGCTGCTAGTTGGTGTTCATGTATTCTTGTGGTCAGTTTCCTTCCTGTCTGTCCACTGTAGTGTTTGTCACAGTCTTTGCATGGGATCTTGTACATCATGTTGGTTCTGTCCATAGTGGGTAAAGGGTCTTTGGTTTGAGTTAGCAGTTGGCATAGGGTTGATACAGGTCTGTGATGCAGAGTGGCTCACATAGCCTAAAGTTGGCTTCCTGCCTGCATCACAATGATCACAGGTTAATCATGTAGTGATCCTCAGATCACTAAAAACCAAGTCTGGAGAAACTCAGCAAGTCTGGCAGCATATGGAGACAGTGTGTTAATGGACCATTTTCTCACTTTACATCAATCTTGTTTCATTAGATATATGTACATCTTGATTCTGTTATTTTACTAGAGATGTAACAGTTCACTGCTCCTTGCTCATTCAAGATTTTTATTTTTAAATGGCTGTCCATCTCATTTTTAAGAGAAGGTAATACACCCAAAAATACTATTCTTGTCAGTTTCTGCGAGGTAATGGTTTGAGTATTAGTTACTATGAAATGTAATTAAATGACAAAGTATACTGGGTACCACACAGAAGTCAAATAGCTTATGACAGGGCATTGAGAAACAGACTCAATTTATGTATAACATCACTAGAGACACGAAGTTGAAGTCAGTGCAGAAGTGTTTTCTTAATATGATCATACAGATGGGCAGGGTAGTCCATTAGCTCAGTTCACTGGACTACAATCCAAATCAAAGTGATACCAACAGCACAGGTGCAATTCATTCTGGCCCAGGTTATCACAAAAGTGACCTACCAACCCAAGATCACCTAAAATATGGAGGCCTTCAGTTTAAGCCAGTCATTGGACAATGTAGCCCTATTGTCTGGTAGGACTACAGCAACAACCTTAGATTAGGAGATAGCAAGAACTGCTGATGCTGGACTCAGACTGAGCATGGAGCTGGAGGAGCACAGCAGGCCAGGCAACGTCACAGGATCAAGAAAGTTGACATTTCAGGTCAGGGCCCTTCAGAAAGGATAGGAGTGGGCCAAAACAGCCCTTCAAGCCTGCTGCACCATTTGCTAAATAAAGGTAGAAAAAAAAGTGTTGTTGAGGGCAAGCAGGAATGAGAGTTCAGCTACAAACCAGATCAGTAATATTATTATTAAATGGAAGAGCAGACTCAAAGATATGAGTGGCTTATCCCCACCCCTAACTTACATCATATTATGAATGAAACATTTATACTGTTAGATTTGTGACTTCCAACTTGAAAAAGCTGACTGTTGCCAGCTAGTCTGCTATACAGGCTTTGAGAAGCCAAATGGACAGTTAGTTGCTACTGAATTGCTCAGTTATGTTGGTCTACAGTGACTCCCTCAGGATATTTATGCAGGAGATTCAGTGATGGGAATGCAATACAATTCCTGGCTCTTGCAGTGGTCTGATCTGTTGCAGTGATGCTCTAGAATAAATGATTGACCAACTACAATCAACTTCCTTTGTGCTGGTTCAGACTCCAGCTAGTGTTGAGTTCCCCCCTATTGAAGGGAATTTCCCAGGGCTCCTTGCCACTAATCAGAACTTTCTGTTTACAGAAAAAAAAGTTACGTTTCCAAAATCCCATTCTTTTGTCCTCATTTAAAACAAGGATCTAATTACCACAAGTGCCATGCCACTGGAGGAACTGAACAGGTTAATGGGCTTGTTGTGGTAAATGACACTCAATAACACCTGCCATCACCTCATGACTTCAAATACACAGACAAGACTGTAGAGTTTCTGCTTTGTGGGAAAAATCATACCTACATAAAGTAGCTGGCAAGGTTTCAGCTAACCCAGAACAACTTTAAGAAAAATGGTGCAACACCTGAGAAAGTGCTTGTAAAGTCTTTAATGCCAGCATGCTTCCACACCACCTCCCCCTAAATTCCTCAGAGGATTACAGATCTTTAAATTGGATCCATTTGATTTGGGCCTGAGACACAGATCAATTTGAATTAGAGGCTGGTTCAGGCACAGTCCATTTTCATTTCGTTTGTTCAACCTCATGACCAAACAAAGGTGGTGAAAAGGTAAAGTCACCATAGTCCTACCAGACTACAGGGTTGTTCTGTCATTAGACAATGATGACAGACGATGGTTTAACAAGAGGGTCAACACACCCCAGTTGAGGAGAGAGATTGAGAAGGAGAAAACTTCATTGTAACCTCACCCAGTGTGGAAGTGTAACTAGTGCTGTTGGCCTCACTCTGCAGCACTAACCAGAAAGCAAGACAACCGATGAACCTGTTTATCCAAAAACTTTAAAAACAATATATGCAGCTATGACAGAGTTACTGGGAAGGAAACTATTCCCTTATTTGGCAAACTCAACATTAAGTCTCAGGAAAACATTATCACCAGCCACCAGAAATAAAAAATTACTTTCTACTTTTGGCCAATCTTTTACCCATTCACATTTTCCAATGATCAGCAAAACTTAAGTATAATTTTTTATTTTGAATGCTGAGGTGTGATTATTCATGAATACAAACATCAATTTTCTGCCACTAAAAGCAGTGGCAAAAAAACAAAAACAAAACACTTTGCACAGCATTAGATCTCCAGACCAACCATAATTTGGCGAACCTCAACTAGGCAATCTTGAAATTTAATGTGTTCACTGCTACTTAACAGATCACATTTTAGTTTGGAATACAACTATGACACTGTCTTCACTTTGCAAGAAATAATGCCAAAAGCTGCAATGAAATTCTAGAGTCAAGGCTCACCCCGTGCAGATTTGCATTGTTTTAATAACAGGGCAGTGCAAAGCAAATCCAGAGTGAAAGAAACCTTTTCTGCTTGTTCTGCATCTACAGTCCACTGTCTCATTGATTCTAAATGCAGCTTGAATTTTTCCGTTTGGAGGAACCTACTGTATATTCATACTTTTATTTCAGATGCAGTCATTCCAGAATGTTACCCAAATAAGTTAGGAAGAGTGGGAATGTTGGGGCAAGAAGAAAACTACACAAGAAATTTGTACAAATAACTACAAAAGTTGCAAGAGAAAAAAAACTAGTAGCTTTCTACATTTTTTCCCCCCAGGCACAGTACACCAAAAAAAGTTACCCGTTCCCTCCAGAAGGGATAAATCGCGCACAAAAAAACAAACATTCCAAAACGCTTACAACAGTTACTTAAGGCACTTCCAGATGTTCTTTTGGGCCACTTGTCCTTCTAGTAAAACCCAAACAGATTACAGGTCAAAAAGGTCACAAGGCAAGACTTTAAATAAACTCCTCTTCAGTCACATATGACAGTGAATTAAAGAGAGTGTTGCAACCGCTTACCAAGAAACGAGTTAGCGGTTCGAATCTCAACTTTCATCATGACAGGCAGATTGAAAATAATACCAGTACAATTTGGCAGTGTAGTTCTGAGGAAGGGTCACCAACTCGAAACGTTAACTCTGCTTTCTCCTCCACAGATGCTGCCAGACCTACTGAGCTTTTCCAGCAACTTTTTTTTGTTGGCAGGGTAGTGTTTGTTTACTTTAGTCTTTTTGTTAAGACTTACAGATAGCAAATTAGGTTTGTTCTGTTCCTAGGATGCATTAGTAGCCTAAAGGAAAATTCCGTTTTGTCATAACTTTTATAAGAGGTTGTACTGCAGGAGTCAAGGAGTTTGCAATTTCAGATCGAACACATTCCACAAATAGTGGAAGAATGGGTGTGGGATAGGGGTAACAAAGAGAATAGCAGAATTTAATAAAATCGTCGTACCCATCGATAGTAAGCCACCATGGCAAAGCGAAAAAAAACACGAAGGGTAGTAATCAATCAAAATGCAAGCGGATAAAAAAAGTGCGGGGCACGAGTTACAAACTAGCCCCTCGGAATAAAAGTCGTTTTTCTAAACCTACGCAAAACAAAAGCAATGCTATTCTTTTGCCGTTCTGGGGAAAACAGCGCGGACCCCCCGCAAGGTTACACAGTGAAAGGAAGGATCCCGATCTATCAAAAGGTGCAGTGGTCACTGTTTAGCCACAGGCCTACCCCACACTGCTGCTCCTTAACCAGCTCACACAATGGGGCTGACTAGTTACCATTTCCAACCCATATCGTGAGCGATCCTACCAGTCCCTTCACCGAGTACAATGCAGCTAGCTCACCCTCACCTGTACTTGTCAAACTTCGCGTATTTCAACCATTCGGAACGGTCACTTTTGTAGGATTCCAGCATGTCCCGCACCTCATCCACATCAATCTTGTCATTCTCAAAAATTTGATGCAAAGCCCGAATTAAATCCTGCAAATTCGCCACTTTCGGCATTCCTGCCTGCTCCATTACCCGAACACAAGCAACAATACCACTCCCCCCAACGACTGTCCAGGCCAGTAATCTGCTTCCTGCTATTTATCAATCCAACTGCTGCAGGACCAACCACCATTCAAGGGGAGGGTCTAATTTCGTTCACTGAATAATTTATGTTTTCCAACTTTTTAAATCAATGCGTGGAAGTCATGTAAGGTGATAAAGCAATATGGTGGCACATTGTCATATATAATGAAACCATCATCTCCCTTAGTTACGTTAATAACTAATCTGTAAACAATCACCCCCTTTACGATAAAAGATGTGACTGGGAATGGCTCGAGTTCGCAATGTAACGAGATGATGTGGATATGCGTTACGCGGCTCTGAGTGCTAGAGCAGCAATTTGAATTTCTAACGTATCTTTAACAGAGCATAACAGTCTATGGCACATTCATGAAAGGGTTACTAGATACAATTTGACATTGAGACATTTAAGGAAATATTAGAGCAGATGACCAAAAGCTCGGTCAGATAGGTAAAAGAGCAACTTGAATGAGGAAAAAAAATCGATTTCCAGCATTTGGAGCCAAGGCAGATGAACACATAGCCATCAGTGTTGGGTAGATTGAAACACGTACTTATACAGGATTCTCTAATCAACATAACATTCCACGCCCCTTCACAAAAGCAATACAAAACAAAATATGATGCCAATTACCCATGAAACAATTAAATGGGAATCACAATTTGCAAATATTGTACCATTCCATGGTCCTACAATAATATTTTGGCCAATTGTCAAATTCAACTGTTTGATATTTCTACACAAGTACCATGCAACAAGTATAAGTTTTGTAGTCACTAGATTTTCAAATTCTGCTGTTATCTCTGAATGAAGGTCAGGTACTTTGACTGTTTATTTTGCTGAACAGTACAATTTAGAAAATATAAATAATGGAATTTATGAACTTAACTCTGTGCAATTAAATTAGAGGAAGTGGTGACATAGTGATCACGAGTAATCCAGAAGCAAAAACAGAAATTGCTGGAAAAGTTCAGCAGGTCTGGCAGCATCTGTGAAGAGAAATCAGAGCTAACATTTCAGGTCAAGTGACCTTTCTTCAGAATGGATGCCAGCTAGGAAAATGTCAGTTTATATGCAGAAGATAGGGGTGGAGTGCAGGGGTTAAATGATAGGTGGGGCTGGAGCCCAAAGAGAGAGCAGAACACAAAGGAGTGGATAACGATCTCTCTCTCTCAATAGCAAAACAGACCCACCAGAAGGTGGTGGCGCAGTGGTAAACAGTCACTAGGGAGTAGACCTGGGAGTCCACAGTATTGTCACCGGGTCCCATGTCAGGCCTCATGTCAAACGTGGAAATGGGCAAGGAAACCTCCTGCTGGTTACCCCTTACCATTCGCCCACACAGCTGATGAATTGGTTCGTTTTCATGTTGAACATCAATTGAAAGAAGCACTGAGCATGGCAAGAGCACAGAATGTACTCATGGTGGAGGACTTCAGTGTCTATCACCAAGAGTGGTTTGGTGGCACCACCACTGACTGAGCTGGAAAAGTTCTAAAGGTCTGCAGCAGATGGAACCAACAAGAAGGAAAAAAAAACCTAATTAACCTCATTCTCAACAATCTGCCTGTCATAATGAGGTCTCATCTTCATACTGAAGATACCCTCCGTTGTGTTACATGGCATTACCACAATGCTAAATGTTTTAACTTTTGAACAGACCTAGCGAATCAAAACTGGGCATCCATGAGGTCTGGTGGGACATCAGTGAATGCAGAATTGTATTCAAGCACAATCTACAACCTCATGTGCAGTATTTCCCTTACTATCAAGCCAATTATCAATTACTATCAAGCCACTGGTTCAAGCCTGGTTCATTGAGTGCAGGAGAGCATGCCAGGTGCAGTACCAAGGATGGTAAAGCATGAAATCATCACAATCTCCATGCCAAACAGGGCATGTAGCACACAATACACAGGACTAAGTGATCCCACACCAATGGATCAGATCTAATCTCTACCGTCCTGCTACATCCAGTTACGAATGGTGGTGGTCAATTAAAATGCTGGGAGCCCAGCACATCAATACAAAAGACAAGGCTGACGTATTTGCATCTGTCTTTAAACTAAAATGCCAACTGCATGATTCATTTCAGCCTCCTCCTGAGATCCCAAGCATCACAGATGTCTGTCTACAGCCAATTCAATTCACTCTCCATATCAAAAACTGGACAAAGGCAAACATTATGGGCACTGACAACATTCCAGCAAGTCCATAGCCAGTCATGTCCCATGCAAGCTATTTCAATGCACCTAAAATAATAGTTTTAGCTGACAATATAGAAAACTGTCTCCATACATCCACAAAAAGCAAGACAAATCCAACTTGGCAATTACTGCCAAATCATTAAACTATCAATCATCAGAAATGTGATGGAAGTGGTCATTGGCAGTGCAATAAAGTGACACATCCTCAGCAAATGCTTGCTCACTGATGCCTAGTTTGGGTTCTGCTAGAGCCACTTAACTCCTGGCCTCAATACATCCTTGGTCCAAACACTGCTAAAAGAGCTGAACTCCAGGAGTGAGAATCATTGCCCTGGACATCAAGGCTGTATTTAACTGACTGTGACATCAAGGAGCCCTTACAAAACTTCAGTCAATGGGATTCGAGGGAGAACTCTCCAATAGTTGGAATCATATCTGGATTGAAGGAATATGGTTCTTGTTGTTGGAGGTCAGTCATCTCAATCCCAAAACATTAGTGTAACAAATGTTTCTTACGGTAATGATTATTCACAGTGGTTGCTATTTGACTAGCATTTTTTATTTCATATTTTTTTCAATAAAAATTTCCCCTTCTGCTATGGAGGGACTTGATCTCATGTCCCCAGACCATTAACCTGGGGTTCTGGATTACTAGTTTAGCAATATTGCCACTGTGCCACTGCCCCCCTTAACAATTAAACATTAAGGTTTTGGAGTAGATTTGTAGCTTGGGTTGTGGGTGTTAAGGTTGGTTGGCTCGCCGAGCTGGTTTATTGTTCCACAGACGTTTCGTTACCGTGCTTGGTAAAATCTTCAGTGCAGCCTCTGATGAAGCGTCGGTGTGTTTTCCGGCCTGGCTTTTAAACTCTGGGGTCTGTTGCGATGGATTGCCTCACTTCCGGCTTTCCTCCGTAGTGGAATGTATATGGGGTCGAGTTCAATGTGTTTATTAATAGCCTGCTTCGTGGAGTGCCATGCTTCCAGGAATTCTCGAGCTTGTCTCTGCCTAGCCTGTCCCAGGATCTTGGTGTTGTCCCAGTCGAAGTGGTGGTTCTCCTTGTCCATGTGGATTGAGATGAGTGAGTATTGGTTGTGTCTTTTTGTAGCCAGTTGGTGTTCATGTACTCTTGTTGTTAGTTTCCTTCCTGTTTGTCCGATGTAGTGTTTCTCGCAGTCTCTGCAGGAGATCTTGTAGATGACATTGGTCCTGTCCATGGCGGGGAGTGGGTCTTTAGTTCGAGTGAGCAATTGTCGTAGGGTTGATGTGGGTTTGTGTGCCACTCTGATGCCCAGCGGTCGTAGAAGTCTTGTGGTGAGTTCTGACGTGTTCCTGATGTAGGGTAGAGAGATGAGTATGTCGGGGCGTGTAGGATCTTTCTGATGCTGTTCCTGTAGGCACCTCCTGACCCAGTTCTTTGGATATCCATTATCCTTGAACACTTGGAAGAGGTATTCTTCCTCCTCTTGGCATAGTTCCGTGTTGCTGCAGTGTGTTGTTGCCCTTTTTAAATAGTGTTCGCACGCAGCTTCGTTTGTGTGTGCTGGGATGGTTACTATTGAAGTTCAATACCTGGTCTGTGTGTGTGGCTTTTCGGTGTACTTTCGTTTGCAGTTCCCCATTTGTCTTGCGCTCTACCATGACGTCCAGGAATCTGTCAGCCGACAGACCACAAGAGCCAAGAAAAGACAGACCCTGCAAGACAAGCTAACCACACTTACCCACAAAAACGACAACAACAGAACTGACACATGGATAAGGAACCTCTCCGACAGGAAACTGACAGATGCAGAAAAAGCCGTTCTCACCCGGGGACTGAACTACAACTACAGGGATGCCAACAAAATGGAATTGCTAGCTACACTGGAAGCCACACTCAAGACCAACAATATCAACGAAGAAACACAACAAACTATAAGACAGACAGTAGTCCCGACACTGATTCTGACTCTGAGGCCCTACCTTCCTATCTTTTCAAAATGTCAAATACCCTTCAATATTCACTTCCCTGCATTGGTCATACTGCAACCACATCTCTGTAATGGCCATCAGACCGTATTCATTGATTTCTATTTGTGCCATCAATTCTTTAATCATCTAAATACATACAGCATTCATAAATAACCTTCAATCCTGACCTTTTTTATCATTTTTCCCTAATCCAACTGAATTTGCTGTATCTTTTTTTTAGTCACCTATCCTTTCTGCTGTCTCTAACCACCCTCTGGATATTAATTCACATTTTTGCTGCTACTCTGCACTATTGACTAAATTTATCCTGACCTGAATTCTTTGCCCCAACCACTTAATTTAAAGAGCTCACTATAGTCCTAGTTATTCAATTTGAGAGGACACTGGTGTCTGGTTCAACTGCAGCCCACTTTCCTCTCTCCCCACTAACTGAAACCCCTTTTATCCATACAAATGTTGGGCCCATTTTTCAACTTGTTGATCTTATTTACTGAATGCCCATTTGCTCATGGTTTAGATAGTAATCCAGAGATTGGTCCTTGAGATATTGTTTTTTTTTAAATTTAATCCGAACTGCTCATATTCTTTCACCAGAGACTCTTTCTTAGGTCTATCTATGTTGTCACCACCCATACGGATCTCAATATTTGAAGCCTTTCCCTCTCATTCCAAGTTCCTCTCCAGGCCTGAGGAGACATCCTTCATTCTGGCATCAGGCAGACAACACAACCTGTGGAAAAATGGGCTCGGCTTTACGAGAAATTGACTAAGCGTAATTTTTGGCAAGTTTCATGGAGGGTGTCTCTCCATGAAGCTTAGCGGGTT